CTGGATAATAAATCTGCCGATGAGCTACTACGCTGTAAACGAAGGCTATCGGCAATCCAGACAAGTAGTTGAGGTTGTCAACAGCATCCACGCTACCATCGGATAGTGCCGTACCATCCGACAACGGAGACGGCGTCGTCGAACGATGAACCTCCTCTAAAGGAGGAGCTGGAGTAGTCGAAGGACCTGATAACTGATGAGCAGAGGAAGATGCAGAGGAAGATGGCACCTGCTGTTGTTATGCTGACGCTACCGCTAGCACAATAGCATCAAAGTCCAGAGGTTGAGCACTCGAAACTTCAGACCCGGATTCCAGGATACTGGTAAAATGGGTCTGGCCACCGATCCCGATATAGGAGGAACCGATGAAACAGAAGCCGGCACCGAGAGATGACGAGGCACCTAACTAAGAGAAGACGGACCTCCAGCTGACTGAGATACACTCCCATTAGGCAACGATGAAGCCGAAAGGTCCCGGCCACTGACAGTCAAAGTTGAACTGAGTGGACCCAGCGCCGAACTAGACACCTGCGCCGAACTAGGACCAATATGCGTAAGCACCGCAGCACGAACACCGTGAGGAAGCGCTGAACAGGGAATAGTATGAGTAAGCGCCCAACCAGGAGCCCTGGGAGCAAGCGCCGAACCAGGAGCCCTGGGAGCAAGCGCCGAATACTGTGAGTATGCACCGCACCGGGAGCACCATGAGGAAGTGACAAACCCAAGCCTGCATGAATTAGCGCCGAATTGAGAGCACCGGGATTAAGCGCCGAATCAAAACCCCCATGAGTAAGCGCCGAACTTGGAGCACGAGAGGAAGCGCCGAACTGGGAGCACCGGGAGCAAGCGCCGAACCGGGAACACAGAGAGGAAGCGCCGATCCGGGAGCACCAGTAGTAGGGGGCAAACAAGAGCGCCGAATTGGACACAAGCGGCGCTCTGAATGACATCATGTGATAGGCAACAAGCGGCACACTACCCACAGGTACCTGACCTGAAGTAAGCGGTGCTTGAGAGGTAAGCGGCGCACTAGAATAATGTGGTGGCCCATAACCAAACGGTAAAGAATACGGGATAGAAGCAGAAAAAGGTAATCTGGGAACCATCGACACACTTGTCAACCCCACCAGAGGATGAGAAAGTGCTGCATCAAAACTATCCCCTGTACCCAAAGCAAGTGACACATTCTACGCAAGCACCGAATGGGAAACAGACGTAGTAACAACCACCGAAGTGGAAAGCACCGCACTGCAAAGAAGCGGCACTTGAGATGTAATGCTAGGAATTACACCAAGTGCCGCACCAGAAACCCCCACCTCAGGACCCAAAGCTCACTGGGGGAAAGGTATCACCGAAGACGGACAGGGGCCAAGGCGAAGATGTAGATAACACGACAACCCTAGGTGGAGAAGAATCTTCCAAGGTGATGGGGTTAGAGGCATGCGGTCGGAAAAGTTGTCGTAAGTTTTCACTGAGGTATGAATCCGACGCCTCTCCAAGGAAATCTTCATTAGGAGACGGGGACCTCGAACGACAGACTGACGGCCACCCGGCGGTATTCAGAGAAATCATCGTCGTTGAGGTCTGCACAAAAGGTACAACGATGCGACCACTCATATCGACCCAAGCAGTCAACACACAAGGCATGTGGATCCGCCGCCGACAAGTTACTTTTACATTTATCGCAATGTTTACGCTTCTTAGAACCACTGCGATTAGATTTTCCCATTGTTGGAAAACGCAATCAAGATAAGCACACGTCCATACGACGTAGCGACAAGAAAGAGAATGACAGGCACAGGTAGTCACATGATCATCTGAGCGAGCTCCACGCTTACGGAGATGATTGACAGGTGCTGATGTCGGGGTGGGGGCAGAGGTCAGGGCGGGTCAGAGGCCAGCAAGATTTGATTCAACTTAGCCTACAGCACGTTTTCACACATGGTCGTAGAAGAAGAGGAGAGGTGCATACCGTGAGAAAGGAGAAGTTAAAAAAATTTATTCCCTCACTCATGGCTTTAAATATGGCATCCATGTCGGCGGCATCAACGTAACAGTTGGAAGCAGATGTAAACATCAACACAACAACAACACAACACAATATCTGTATCAAATGCTGTATCATCTATCATTCCACTATATTGCCTTATTCTATGTTCCAAAGACAAGGTTTGATAAGGTGTATACTTGGCCCATGGATATCTGAATCATATTTCATTCACCCAAAGTAATTATGGCTTAGTAAACAAGCTTATGTGAATAATGTTCCATTACATTTATACATAAATACAACAAATATTAGATAATAAACAGCATGATAAGAGAGCAAGCAACCTGTGTATATTACATCTTATTTACCCATCAAATGTGCAATTGAATGTTTACATCTTATGGTGGACAGATGAAGACCTAATGCAATGTGTCTTCATAAGAATGGCGGCAGGAGCAGGATGGATTTAGAGATATATGCCGTTCAAACATGTATGCATTCAAATCACTACATCCAAGTCAGAGGCAAAAATGGACTATTTAGCCAAAATGTGTACCTACTGTCGGTTTATAAGAGCAAGGGTGGGGAAGAAATAGCCTGGCTAGGCAAGAATCATCCCCCTTTTAATATAAGAGCGTGGGGAAGAAGTAGCCTTATATAAGCTAGGCCAGAATCTCCCCCTTTTGATATAAAAACAAGGGTGGGGAAGAAGTAGGTTTAGGTTTCGCGGAACGGGTCAAGCTACAGTTAGCAATAAATATCGCGTTCCCAGGACTCTCAATACACAAGAAAAACAAAGAAGTGTGAGTCGTCGTCTGATACCGTAGTCATGGTAGAAATTTAATATATAACTAACAATAAATGTTTGAGCCACAGACTGTTCACCAATAAGTCACATGGATGGATCATGTGGAGGTGGAATTGAAGATATTGTGCATAGACAACTTACATCGTTAAGCATTCATTGACATTATTAACCAGGGGCGTAGGAACGGTTTTCAAGGGGGGGGGGGGGAGGGCTCATTTATGAACAGTATTGAAAATCAAAATGCATGAAATTGTAGATATGGTAAGGTAGATATGGTTTCGTCTTGAAAGCGTTACGTTACCGCACTGTAATTTACGTTACTTATATAAATATATAGGGCGATAACAACCTAACTACTTTCACTTGTCAAAGTTTGATTCACATTTGATATTTCGGCAATGCCAGACAACAAAAAACAAATGTTTCGCGAAACTTTCCAAATATGGTGGTAGCGTAAGTTATAGTAACGTAAAGTAGTTCTGGTAATGAATAATGTTATGGCAAGATGAATAAATACAGAATGCTTGGTTGGGGCATGCCGACCAAATGTACAGTGATGAAGACTATTACTGGGATGCTAGATTTTGAGTTATAACGGTAATGTATGATTACTTGCTTAAAAGATCTCTACTGATGTCGAGCATATTTTTCAATATTGTAAGAAAAATCAATGTTAGCGAAACTATATGTTTTTAGATATCGAGAATAGATGAACAATCCAATCAAGAAAAAATTATCTTGTTGGTCTGTGCGATGATTTACACAACGTAACGTAAATTACTCTGATTCTACCGACATAATCTAAACATGAGTTTGGGGTTTAGGTTGGTGAATCACCGACAAACTAACATGGGCGAATTAGCCCATATGTATGTTGATTCTTTCAACATACTAAATATTACATAACTTCCGTTGAATAAAATTTTGCAGCAAGCTTAAATGCAAAGAATACGCACTACCGACATAGCAAAAATGCCGCCATAGAACCAAATGTTTGCTTCTGACGCTGCAATATCACTGTTTTTTATGAGGGAGGAGTGCGGAGAAAAGGGACAGCCAGGTGTTCGAGAAGCATGTTCACAGACAAAGTTATTTATTTATTAACCTGTGATGTGCCGTCTCCATCCGTTCTCGAACACCTGGCTGTCCCTTTCTCTGCACTCCTCCCTCGTAACAAACAGTGAACTGTGTCAATATTTTAATGATAGATTGTTAAACAACTTTTTAATTTTTAGGACAAAAATTCTGCAAAAACCTCACAGAGTGGGTATAATGTTTTGATCATGATCAGCGTTTCATTGAGTATTTTATGTTTATTAGTTTTCGAGTTAGATTGCAATTCATCGGTCCACTTTTGAGCCAAACGGACTATAATAATCTATTATATGGTCTCTGGTCAAACAACAAACAAATTTTACTACACAGCTCCAATACTTCTTTTCTCGAAGTGTTTTCCTACACCGATGCTTAAACTTGTGATAGATCAAGTGCTGAAACTTCATCTCAGTTAAGAGGCTAACAGATCAAGTATTGGGGTTGCGCGCTAATCTGAAGTACGGTAATCCGATGTTTTCATACCAATTCGCTTTCGCGGCACTTCTAGCACAACTTTGGTTTTCGCTTTACCGGGAACAGGGAATATTGAAATTTCGCTTTCCCAGGCCAACACCGATCAAACTACTTTGATCTTTAATGATCTTTTATGCTGATGACATGATTTTTATAAACATGTGTTTGCTCCAGAACACAAAAGAGTGGAACTGACTGTGAGTGTAGGTTGATACAAACGAGACATGGCCTTCAACCTTTGGGGTGAATTTGACCTTCAATATTGGGTGCCAGAACTTCAAGAAAATGCCCAAGCTTGACATGTACCAAGTTTCATTGACCTACAATAAATCCTGCAGGATTTAGGAGTTTAAACATTATTTAAGAAATTATGTGAAAATGGCAAAAACATTTTACAATCACATTCGCTGTGAACATAAGCTCTTGACGTTTCTGATCTTAACCCTACTGATGTACTAATGGACTGACCTCTAGTAAATCTTACCAGAGTAATCTGCAGTGTTTTATGGAGACATACATGACATGCCACATCACTAGAACATCCAAGCACTGTGTGCTTCAAAAGAACATGGCTCTCTTGTATGTGTATTGGTATCTGGATTTGAAACAATCCTACACAGCCCAAGACTCATCCAACCTACAGAACCTGTATTGAGAAAGTCACAACAAAATAGTGCACAAGGGCACAAAAACAGTTTTAAAAAGATGTCAGTATGGCTGTTCAGATCCTTGCTGGAACAACACTTGTGTTCGAACGGAAAGTGTAATACAAATCAGTACCTTATGTACCACAGTTATAAAACTTGACATTGAAAAAAACCCAAAAGACTGCACAACTGATGAAATATAATCAATTATTTGCTGCTCTTTGGTGAATGCTCAGTCTATGCTGCATTCCAAGAGATCCAGTTTGAAGAACTGATCTTGAAACTGGAAACAATTTGTCATGTGGTACTTGTAGGTCTGTTGTCTTCTTCCTTCTCTAATTTATCATACATATCATGCTTCCATTCTCCGTGTTCACTTGAGCCCCTTTTGTCAAATCTATGGTCGAAGCCTGCAAAAAAACAAAAATAACAATACAGATGGTAAACAATAATAGAAATAACAATAATGTCCAGTTTTCGGCTGTTTAGTCAGCATCAATTTATGAGTATATGTCAAATAGCGTGTGCACACTAGCATGCACAGACACACACACATGTAAATAAAGAGGTGAAGTTCAGTATACAACTGTACATATATATTAGAAATATAGAAAATATCGACTGCAATATGGGCTGCAAATGTTATACAAATCAGAATGCTGGGTAAAGCATATGAATATTGGATCACAAATACAATAAGTCAACTGTTGCTCTATAATTGATTAAATTCATTAAAACAACAGCAAACCATATTTTGACCATGCTAGCAGCAGCATTAATATATATCACATCAATGACAAGAGACCACATTACCGTCAAATTAGATAATAATGTCGACTATTATCCTATATATACCTTTTTATGTTGTAAGGCCAATAAATAATCAGTAAATTCAAATTCCCCTAAGTGGGCACAGAATTTACACCTAAAGTTTAAATTGCAGTTGTGTTTAACACATGAAGAGCACACAGAGTGTGGGTCATGATTAGAAACTTCATATTTGCAAATAGAACATGTCTTCATAAGCCTACAACACTCTCTAATAGTCTGAAAAATATAATTAATAAATGACAATTTTTTGAGTGAGTGAGTGAGTGAGTATGGCTTTACGCCGCTTTTAGCAATATTCCAGCAATATCACAGCGGGGGACACCAGAAATGGGCTTCACGCATTGTGCCCATGTGGGGATTCGAACCGGGGTCTTCGGCATGACGAGCGAACGCTTTAACCACCAGGCTACCCCACCGCCCCGACAATTTTTGAAAATAATATACAAAGGATATGAGATGAAAAAACAAGCATAAATTTTGATGGATGGGCTGAAATAAAGGAGGATTAGCTTGGATAATGAACAGAGGGAATCATCCCTGCTGTCCCGAAGGGCGAAAATGGAGAGACTGATGAGCTCTCGCTGGTCACGTGGGTTGCTGGTGCACAAGCGCGGGGAGAGGCCCATTTGGGGTGAGCTATTTTTAAACTGTTCTTGGAAAAATAGGACAGAGGTTTCCACTGTACCTCAGGAGAAAGGGGAGATAAGCAATAAGTATGAGTCAGGATAAAGAAATATAAAGTATTTAAAATTAAACAAGAAGACAAAGTCATCAATATCCCCCGCAATGGCAAAATACTCTTCATGATTATGTCTACGAGTTATGATTATGTCAAATATTTAGGTGTGTATATAGAAAAGTGGAAGGAGAGTATTGAAAGGTTTTTAAAGTTCTGCTCCAGAAAGGAGCATTATCACCAATTTCAGTCTATGTAAAACTTGTTGCCATGGAAACGCCAAAAATATTTTATTCAGAATTCCAAAACTACCAAAAGGCACCAGTACACCACCAGATCTATCTATGTGCCAAGTTTGGTAAAGAAATAGTGAATGGTTTTAGAGTTCAGCTCCGGAAAAGTGTACTACCACCAATTTCAGGCTAAGTCAAACTTGTTGCCACGGAAACGCCAAAAATATTTTATTCAGAATTCCAAAACTACCAAGAGGCACCAGTACACCACCAGATCTATCTATGTGTCAAGTTTGGTGAAGAAATAGAGAACGGTTTTAGAGTTCTGCTCTGGAAAAGAACACTACCACTAATTTCATTCTAAGTCGAACTTGTTGCCATGGAAACGCCAAAAATGTTTTATTCCGAATTCCAAAAACTAGTGGGGTAAAAAGATTAATACAGAAATATAAAGCCATAATGAGTGATGGTAATGGTAGAAAACAGGAAGAACTAAGTGGAAAATGAACAGATCATGATGGGCTTGTCCCGTGACCAAGACAGACAAGGGATGTGCAGGCAACGTATCAAACAATATCCATCAGTGTGTATAATTCTTGGAATACTACCTTTCATATCATAAAATTCCCATTCTGGCTGTCATCACACCATAAAATCTGTAGTATTTTCAACAGATATCCTCCTTACTTCAGAAAGTGAATGAGTGAATATTGCTTAATGCGGTCCTTACTTCAGCAACCCATGCTTGTCATAAGAGTTGGCTAACGGGATCAGGTAGGTAGGCTCGCTGACTTGGTTGACACATGCCATCACATCCATACTGCATAGATGGATGCTCACTGGAATATTGCTGAGTGCAGAGTTAAACAATAAAACAAACAATCTGCAACCTTTGGATGCATTTTAGTCTAACAATAATTTTTTATCTAGGAAGAAGATACTTTAATTTGCAAAGATCATACTTTCATCAACATAGATGATATTGATATTTATGTACATGATTTATAATCTACTTAGGAGAAGTATCATCTACTGTCAACTTAGGTAGCCATAATTGACAATAATGACAAAATTCTTTTTCTATGTAGATGTAAGTACCATCTATACAGATGTAAGTATCTTCTAGGTAGGTATAAGTATCTTCTACATAGATGTAAATACCATCTATACAGATGTACGTATCTTCTAGGTAGGTATAAGTATCTTCTACATAGATGTTAATACCATCTATACAGATGTAAGTATCTTCTAGGTAGATATAAGTATCTTCTACATAGATGTAAATACCATCTACATAGATGTACGTATCTTCTAGGTAGGTATAAGTATCTTCTACATAGATGTAAATACCATCTATACAGATGTACGTATCTTCTAGGTAGGTATAAGTATCTTCTACATAGATGTAAATACCATCTACATAGATGTACATATCTTCTAGGTAGATATAAGTATCTTCTACATAGATGTAAATACCATCTATACAGATGTACGTATCTTCTAGGTAGGTATAAGTATCTTCTACATAGATGTAAATACCATCTATACAGATGTACATATCTTCTAGGTAGGTATAAGTATCTTCTACATAGATGTAAATACCATCTACATAGATGTACGTATCTTCTAGGTAGGTATAAGTATATTCTACATAGATGTAAATACCATCTATACAGATGTACATATCTTCTAGGTAGGTATAAGTATCTTCTACATAGATGTAAATACCATCTATACAGATGTACGTATCTTCTAGGTAGATATAAGTATCTTCTACATAGATGTAAATACCATCTACATAGATGTACTTATCTTCTAGGTAGGCATAAGTATCTTCTACATAGATGTAAATACCATCTATACAGATGTACGTATCTTCTAGGTAGGTATAAGTATCTTCTACATAGATGTAAATACCATCTATATAGATGTACGTATCTTCTAGGTAGGTATAAGTATCTTCTACATAATAATAATAAAATGCAGATTTCTTCATGCGCCTTTTCCACGTCAGCAGATATGCTCAAGGCGCAACAATGACAGATTAAAAGAGTCTCCCACATTTATACAGCAATATGTACACTTCCAAAATAGAGTTCCTAATAATACATTGAAAACAGGTATGTTTTGAGTCCTGACTTGAATGTGGCAATACTATCAGAAACTTTCAGATTGTATGGGAGAGAATTCCACAAGGTTGGGGCTGCATATGAAAAAGTCCGGTTTCCAAAAGTCTTAAGCTTGAAGTTTGGCACGAACAGAAACTCCTGATTGGATGATCGAAGGCAGCGCTTGTTTGAGTAAGGAGTAAGCAGGTCAGAGAGATATGGGGGAGCAAGTCCGTGACGGGCCATGTAGGTCAAGCAGAGGATTTTGTAGTCGCTTCTTGCCTTGATGGGGAGCCAGTGCAACTGTTTAAGAACAGGTGTGATGTGGCCATGTTTGGGAATGCGACTGATAATACATGCGGCCGTGTTCTGCACCTTCTGTAACTTATCCAATAGCCTCTGACTGATCCCAAACAACAAGCTGTTGCAGTAGTCGAGCCTTGAAATCACAAGCGCCCGGACTAAGGCATGGGTGGCTTCAGCTGTAAGATATTGACGGATGTTGCTGATGGAGCGAAGATGGAAATAGCATCTATACAGATGTACGTATCTTCTAGGTAGGTATAAGTATCTTCTACATAGATGTAAATACCATCTATACAGATGTACATATCTTCTAGGTAGATATAAGTATCTTCTACATAGATGTAAATACCATCTATACAGATGTACGTATCTTCTAGGTAGGTATAAGTATCTTCTACATAGATGTAAATACCATCTATACAGATGTACGTATCTTCTAGGTAGATATAAGTATCTTCTACATAGATGTAAATACCATCTATACAGATGTACGTATCTTCTAGGTAGGGATAAGTATCTTCTACATAGATGTAAATACCATCTACATAGATGTATGTATCTTCTAGGTAGGGATAAGTATCTTCTACATAGATGTACGTATCTTCTACGAAGATGTATATTCTAGGTAGATGATTTCAACATGATGTCTTGTCTACTCACCACTGCGGGAACCTCTGTCCCTTGTCTTGTGCCCCATGGAGTGAGAATCCTCAACATGACTGTATCCTTGCTTGCCGCGGTATCTTTGTCCAACACTCATTTGTTTATTCTTACTGTATGGAGTCTGATATGTTTGTTGATATGCAGTTCTTTGGAAAAATCCTCTTGTTGTGCCTCGAGAACGGCTGCCCAGATAACGTCCTCTCCCCCTTCCTCGTCGGAAGAATGTATTGTCATCCCGGTTGTCATGCTGAAACATACACATGTGTGAGACTGGTGGGTCTGTGGTCAGAGGGAACTCAAGCAACTGACACCTACAGACTTGTGGCACATCATTATCATTGACTGGTAGCAAAAGCAAAAGCAATCCTCAGCCCACATTTTCCCCATCGCCAAAACCTTCCCTCCACAAAATATATCAGGACCCATATCAACTTCAGTACACTAGGCAAAAGCTGATCGCACCTACATCTCTTCACATCTGTAATGTCAAATTCTGTCAAATTTAGTCCTTTGCATACCGTAGGACACTTGGATGATCTAAGGGATGTCCAGCAAAAACAACATACCTTCATGTAAGGGTGCACAACTTTCATTTAGGCATGTCTGACTCGAATAGGGCACATGCCATGTATATACACTGCTCAGATCTATTACCTGGACACAGATATAGTCAGATTTGTTCTCACGGTCAATCCTTTGTCCACAACTCTGTACACCTGTTCTAGTGACTGGCCATTGTAATATTATAATTCCAACAACTGCCTAATGCCAATTTGGGTAGAATCTTTCAAATATTAATTACAAAATGAGGGCACAACTGACTGTAGCTATTCAATATGGTGTTTGTTACCCTATAGTCCTGCAAAGCTGCTAATGACTTGAGTAGTAGAAGTAATGGGGGTACGAGATCACTTTCAAGAAAGGTCGCTGTAAAGGCCCTTAGATCTCGCCCCCATCGTGTCTACTACTTTTGAATCCCCAGTTAACTTCCCGACCCCACGTGATCACGTGATAGCTCTATGCCGCGTTGACAGGAGGTAACATTGTGCCGTACGGTATGATCAATAATTCCTGTCTAACCAACCCTCTCCCTGGCCCATCTCTCAAGTAGTACAAGTTCGGCTCGTCGGCTTTGATGTCCACTTTATCTATATTGTAAGTTTTGACTGACCATATCGGATCGGTGGCTCGCTTACGACTATCACCCTCGTGTTCCCCCGGCTGGTATAGGTACCTCACGAGGGCCCTATCTGTTTCTCTTTCCCAGGCAATGGCGCAGCCGACTCTGCCACTATTGATTTTAGTTTGATAGCGTCGGCTGGTTTCTTGCCGGTGAGACGGGTGGTTTCATGGTTTATGGCCGACACCACCTGAGGTAACCGCGCTACCCATTCAGTCGATCGTTTCCCCGGGTTGGCTATCTCTCTCGCATACTGATGCCCAAATAAGCGCTCTGCCAAAGTCCGATTGAATCTCTCAACTATGGCTTGGCTGCGATGGGCTCCGGCCGTGCCACGCCTGACCTTGGTATCGTGTTTGTCTAGCAGGTGTGACACGACACCCATGAACTCCGGCCCGGGGTCAACTTGCAGCTCTGACTGGCAACGTCCACGACGGTTAAGGCATACTTGTACCTCTTGTCGTGGGGTAGGAATAGGAGGTCGGCCTGGTGAACGCTATTGGGTATGTTAATACCGAACTTCCTTCTAGGCACGTGGCGTGGTGCCGGTAAATAGATCTGCCACAGGGCTTGTTTTTCAAGCCACGCTTTGGCCTCACCTGTGGGTACTCGCGCCATTTTAGCCAGCTTATGTATGGCGCTAGCTCCTTTCCAGTACCCACGCGGGCTGTAGTAAATAGCCTCAAACTTTCTCTGGTTCCGTGACATCGTTGTCACAGGGTATCGTGTTTATATATACACCTATGTTCTTGGTTCAATTTTTTCATGCCCGTACGAGTATGTGTTTATCCCATCAATAGCTATCCAACGTTTAGTGTCCATCGGCGACAGGGACGTCTTGTTTATAGTCAGTCCGTATATCCTATGCCCATCACTTCTAAGCGTGTTCATTTTATGCCTGAAGGTACGGGTCTTGAACAGGGCTTCCTTGAATCTGGCGTGTTTGATGTGTTGTTTCACCACGTACTTCTTAACACCCTTCGCCTTCCGGATCTCACCATTGTCGGCCTTCAGGATGGAGTACATCTTAGGCCTCAAACCTATGTACTCGGCTATGGGCGTGCCAGCACACTCGTCCTTCATCTTACCTAGGACCTTTTTATTTACCGTGCTGTGTATGGCATGGTCCTTGGGGTAGTCGCTGGTGTCGTACAAATCGAGGAGTTTTTTCATGTCCTCGTACACGTCCTCGGTTCGAATCTCCATCAGCAGGGAATCCGTGTCAGTGTACAGCACTTCACACCTGTCGCCGTACTGTTTCTTCAGTTCGTTGTAGTAAAAGTCGTACATCATGTGTTTGGATAAATCGAGGATGCTCATCCCCACGTAAACAGGCCGGTTGAATTTGATGTGGCTTTTCTTCATGTGTAGGGCAACCAGGTCGTGTATTTTGGTCAGCCTCATACCCAACGACAGGTACAGCTGTAGGTTGCGATAGTGAACGATGTACTTGGTCTTATTCATTGAGTCGGGCACTAGTTTTTCAACGTCTGCCACCCGCCCACCTAGCAAGTTATGTTGGTACTCAGACATCCAGTCTGGGTTAACCCTCATACGTTCGGGGGCTAGGGGGTAGCTGTTGTGCGATGTGTGCAATGCCTTGGGGTATTCTAAGTCCACCTCGAGGATATAACCTTTGTTCGAATCTGGCGCGATGCTCATAACATCGACCTCGTGCGATGCCCATTCGAATCCCCTTGTGGGTAGATACTGGCTCATGGCCCAGCCGTACAGATTGTTGGCGTCGAGGTAGAGAATATGATTGGTTGGTTTGCTCGGGTCGTAGCCCTTCACGTATTGATTATTTGCTTTCGCATATCGTTTGGTAGCCATGGAGATCCCACCTCGCAAGCCTTTCTCAATGAATAGGTGCATGTCGTAATCGGTGAGCAATTCCAACTTAATTCCGGTCTTTTTCAACAATGCATCCCATGACAGACCTGGGCTGGTGTAATACCATGCGAGGTCGAGTTGATATTGCTTGAAACACGTCCGCCTAAACGTCTCAAACACGTCGGCTAGCAGCAGTACATCTGTCCTCAAGTACAGGTCGTGATAGTCACCCAGATTCTTACAGCCCAGTTTATTCCATACGTTAATAATCGCGCGTAATAATCGCCTTGGGATATTGTCGAAGTCGGTCAGGTTGCTGTAAAATTCTCTGATGGGGGTAGTCGGGTCTCGGCGAACTTGGCCCAGCCATCCATGTAGTCGTAGGGGTACACACCCTTCCTCATCAGTAGGGGTCGAGCCACGGCGTCGGTGTATCGATCGGTGATGGGGAAGGTATCGTTGGCCTTGACCAGACTGTCGAGTGACGACAGGAGGAACTGAATCGAGTCGATGAACCTCAGGCCATTCAAGCTGAAAGAGATGTATCTCTCCATGTTGTTGGGGATGCACGTCAGGTTGCCGTCGACTTTCGCGATGGCCTGCATGATTAAGTGAGAGTCGTACAGTCTCAAGTTGTGGAAGACCACGGGGATGTTTATTGTCTTGGGGGTGATTCTAAGTTTGAGGTTGCACGCGTTGTGAGCGGCGCCTCTATACTTACCAGTGACGTGGCAGTGATCTCTCACTGAATCACCGTTCAGTGGGCTATCACACACGTGGCATAGAGTGCTGCAGGCGTGAGCTAGCGGTCGGCTTGGGTCATACGCATGGGAGCGACTGTATACAGTGCATTCCTAATACTTTTCTCTTCCTCCTGCAAACACTTTAGAAACTTTTCAGCCGCGTAGGGACCCCTATACACTACGGGAGCTTACGTTTTCCCATCACATCGGACGACCATGTATCCAAACCCACAGGCCTCATGCTCCTGTGTTTTCTGTGTGGCTGGGGTACCCCCAGCAGCCTCAACGGGTTTGACCAAGGCTTCAAAGTCGGCGTAGATGACGTAAGGCACGGATATCTGATTCCTGTGGTTGTCGAATTTTAGGATATTGCCGCCTTCCTTGGGCATGTCTGCCCCACACCTTGGCAATCCCCCTGGTGTGATTCTATAAATCAGCTCGTGTGAAGCCGTGTAAGCACCGTTCGCAGAAGTGACTCTTTTCTCGGTGTGCCGATTGGTCGTACAACAGCCTGCTAAAGTGTTTTATCCACGCGTAGTGGTACTTATCACCTCGCTGGATCATGAATATATTGATAACGCGGCGACCCAGACCCAACAGACTGACCCTGTGCACTATTGTTGTGTTGCCTTCGTGCCCAAAGACGTTTATGGCTATATTATTCTGTTTTTCTATTTTAGTGATCTGAGATATGGGGGTTGGTTCGGTTATACCATCCCAGTTGAGCCCATCGTCTTGGGGATAACTAGAAGGCCTGTTCGAATTAGTGTCAGCTGGAAACAAGGCTGACCTGATAGCTAACCTCAGGCAATCGTCTCCTCTATTCTTGATGTTGACCATGGCCTGTTTTTTCTTATAGTAGGGGGGCAAATCTATGTACGACCCGCCTCTGAATGGCACGTAGTTAGCTATGTCTAGATAAACATTATCGATTTTATCAACAACCCAACCAGGACCCCATGTGTGTGTAGCGTTCTAGGTATTCTCGTATCTGCTGAAAACTGGTATCGATTGACTCTTCTATAGTCTCTGTGTGAGTCACGACTTCTTGTTTACCTCGGAAGTAAGGCTGAACGTACTCAGTGACCCCATTCCCCTGCTTATCGAGCGACATTTTCACTGTGATTTGAAACTTTATACTTCCCAGATCGTTTAGTTCCTCATTGACTTTATCAGCGATTAGAGGCTTGATATCGGCGATGTCTATGTTCCTATCAACATGCATGCGCCAGCCTCTCAAATAGTTACCTACAGCGCTCAGTGGGTATGAACTCTAGGTCAATAGCTCTATTCTGCCGTAATAGTTCTACAAGCTGTGGCTTCCTCATACGGGAATAACCTATTAACCCCAAATCTCGTGCCTCAACTTTGAGTTGTTTCACAGTGTGGGGCTTTGATACGGGGTCATTTAATAATGTGACTAACCCGGCTCTCCCCAGGCGGGAATAACCCGTCAACCCTAGCTCTTTTGCTCGGAGTTTTGGCTGTTTT